CGGCTCTCTGATTCGCCCCTCCGCGGGCCCTCCCGGGGCCCCCTCGTCCGCGCCACGGAGGGGTGGACCGCGCACTCCAAAGTTGCGAGAGCTCGGGATTTCTGCAACTTCAGGTAGGTCCCCACCCACAGGGCCACGTGACTGGGGAAGGGGCAGCCCGGGCGGGCGGAACCATCCTCCCCCTCCACCCTCTGCCTGGGGCCCAGCACCCGCGCGTCCGAGCCCGGGTTGTGGGGGGCAGGTCCGGTTGGAAACCTGAGGACCGGCCCGGCACTCCGCGGAAGTGCGCGGGACCTGGAGCCCCACACCTACCCTTCCGACTCCCTCAGGCCAAAAGTGCCTGTTATTTTTTACTCAGCAAATGCTGGGGCTTGCCCTTGGGGATGGGAGTCTTTCACCTGTCTCTCCAGCGTCCTCGTAGGAACAATTAGTACCCATTTTTCTTCGTGAATCATTCATACTTTTGAGACATACTGAACGGGCGTTCTGACATTCCGGATTTTGGTCTTGACTTTCGTCTTGGTACAAACCACTTTTCAACCCTGGGGACCACCAGAGAGCTATTCTCTCCACCCCATCTCACAGGAGCAGTCCTGAGCGAGAAAGATCTGCGCTTGGAAAAGACGCGACAATAAAAGTAGCAATAAGAACACCTAACGGAACTTTTACTATGAGCCAGATTCTGGAATAAACACCTAAAGTGACTTATTTCATTGAACACTGGCAACTGCTTATTAGACAGTATTATCTCTGTCCCAGTGTTACAGGCAAATATGAGACCCCCTAACTGTCTTCCTCAATGTCCCCTGGTACCTTTCCTATCCATTGGTGGCTATAGTGCCAAAATAATCTCAAACTGCAAAGACTATCAGCTCATGTCTATACCACAAGCTGTCCTGCTGCTCCTAGGGAAAGACCCACATTCCTGTATGGTCTTCCTGCAGCTGCCCCTCCATTCTGCACTTGAGCCATTGTCACTCTTTTTGTTTTTGTTTTGTTTTTTGTACCAGGGATCGAAAACTTGTGAGGCAGGTGCTGTGCCACTGAGCTAAATCCCCAGCCTGAGCCATTGTCACTCTTGCCAAATGGTTTGCCTCTGCTTGGAACGCCCTTCAGCAAATGTCTGTGTGTCTTCCTGACCTCAGCTCCATTATAGATTCTTTAGGAGAGCTGTCACTGGTCTTCTTAAATTATGCTGTACATCCTGTCTATCTCTCCTGGATTTTTCATTCTCTGTGCAGTCTGTTTGTTTGATTAATATGTATCTCCTCCATTGATTGTAAACTCCAAGGTTACTGGGTCCATTTTTGGTCTACCATTGAATCCTTAATACATAGAAGGCTCTCAATAAATGCTAGTACAGGTATGACAAAAGTTGAAGTTGTCCCCAAGGAAAGTGAGCAGTGGAGCCTGGATCTGCCCTTAGAACCTGTATCCTACTTCTGGAAGGGCTGGGCTTGATCTCATGAACCCTCTTCTTTTGCCTTCAACACTTTCTCTCATTTTAGAGCACAGACTGCTCGTGGAGAAAAAGTCAAGAAGGTTCCTCACCTGAGCTCTGAGCTGGATTCCTGTCTTACTTCCCCTGTGCTCCCAACTATAGAGGGCAGGGTCTAGAGGAGGCAGATGGGATTGCTGCTCACCTTCCTGTCCCTGGCATCCCTCTAGTAGTGAGGCCGCCCTGGCTCCTTCTGTCCCATTGTCTGGATTCCTGCCTGGTCGATCCTGCAGGGGCAGGTTGCTGAGGGAGCAGTGAAAGACAGCTTTGCCTTGTCTTTCTAGGACAGGTGCCTCTGAGGTTGGCACAGCATCAGGACAGGCCAACAGTGAGGGGCTGTATGGCTTGGGCTGGGACTGCTGCTTTCCTCAGAGAGAAAGCCAGGCAGCTAGAAGCTCAGGGGGAGGAGCTGCAATCCCTGAGGTGGCTCAGCCCTGTCTTGCAGCCTTTATTGCTGACTATGTCCCGATAGAAGAAAGGGGCTCTTTTCATAGCTAGATGCCCCTGGGAACACCAGGAAGCCGAATCTCTGGTTGAACTGGAATTGGGCCATATCAGGTGTGGCTGAAAAATAAATGGGACCTGAATGGAGCTGGGAATCTTTGTGAATTCAGAGCTCTTTAGATTTGTGTTTTGCAGTGGGATTTATGGCTACAGTACAAATTAGTCCCCTCACCTGTCAGAGCCTCCCTTGGGCAGACTGATACCATTTGCCCTTGAGCATAAGTCGGTGTGGTCTGAGTTTCTGCAGAATACAGACTGGCTACTCAGTTTGAGGAAGGTCAACTCTGGAAGGTGTACACAGTTTGCCCAAATGACCAGGCATCCCCTCCCTCTGAGCCTCAGTTTCCATTTCTGTAAAGTAGATGTAGTGAAAGCATACATTCAGTTATGTTTTGTAGACTCTCTTAGGGCTCCAACAGAAAAAATATATTTTTCATATAGCCATATTCCCTCACTGCATTGATTCATCTTGGAGGCAGTTTAGGGTAGTGGTTAAAAGAACCAGTTTGGAGTCCAATGTACTAGGTTTGAATTTCTACTCTGCTACTTACTAGCTATGAGATTTCACCACTAGGGGCATTCAGTTCCTTATCCAGAAAATGGCACCAGTAATATATCTCTCAGTGTTGCTGTGGGCATTAATTAATTAAACAATACCCATACTCCACTGGCATGTAGACAGGCCTGGCCGAAGGTACTACCACAGTAACTTGGGACAGCCTAAAAAAAATATAGGTAGTTGTGCTCCCCGCAGAGGCCCAGGCACATAAGCCAGACCATCTCCCTTTCTGGGGCTGAGTGAGGCCTCCTGAGGCAGAGGCTGGCCAGTTCTCTTCCTCTCCCTAATCTCTCCAGCTTCTGGTTTTACCATGTCAGGTGGCTCTGTTCTGAAGTTCCCTGCAGCCCACCAGGACTGTCATAGAGGATGTAGAGTTGAAAATTATACCAGACAAGCCAAGACTGTTTCAGTTAGGGTTGTTGTAAATGTTCTTGTAAATGGCAGAAATACAATTGAAAATTTCCTAAGCAGAAATGCAAATACTTTTATCCATCTCATAACAAAGCACAAGGTTTTAGGTACAGCTGAATCCGAGGGCTCAAGTGACATTATCACTCTGCTTGGACTCTGGTGCTTCTGAGCTGATGTCCCCAGAGGCAGCTCTTCCTGTCTGGTAGATGTCAGCAGCTCCAGGCTCACAGCCTCTTCTCAGCAACCCTCCTGTACCTCTTCAGCTAACAGGGGGCCTTTGAGATGGGATAAAGGGTGAGTGCAGAGGTGGAAAGGCCAGGAAAATAGAGAGGAGAGCAGGAGACGAAGCGGCACTGGCTAGATGCATCTACCCTTCTCCCTTCCCACCATGTGTGTTGCCCTTGGCAGTACCTGAGCAAGCCCCCTTGGTTCGCCACCCACATCCGTATAGCTGAGAACTGGTTCTCATCCCTCTCTGGTGGCCTCAATTCCCTTTAAATAGTTGCCCGCTGCAAGTTCAAGATGTGTGCCAGGGTCTCTGGCTACACAGTGCCTGCAAGTTGACACCTAGCCCTAAGAACAATGTTGACCTTAGCAGGTTAAAGCAAAGACAAGAGATTTTCCTGTCCTTTCAGGGGATTCCAAGTATCGCCATGGCCTCAAAAAATAGGGTTGATGGCACCCCTAATGGTGTCTTCCAAAGTTAACTAAGCTTTTGGATCCATTCCTGTTAGCAATGATTTGGTTTCATTTTCTGGAATGAAGGCAGACTTTGACCTCAAATCAGATAGCAAGAGAGGAGAGAAGTGTGGGAGATGCTCAGTATCTGAAGCAAGAGTGTCTGGTGGAAGTAGGGGAGTCTAGGCTTGGCTTGGCGTTTGCCCCTTGCTCGCCCTGGGAACTTGCAGAGTTCTCAAAGCTCTCTGGGTCTCAGTGTACCCTTCGTGGTTTAAATAAGTGCAAGGTCCGTAGTTTGATCCCGGTACCAAAAAAAAAAAAAAAAAAAGACAACATGGAAAGTGTAGAGGCCTGGCATGAATTGGACTCTCAGTAAATATGAGTCCTGTCCCTCTTTTCTCCCCCTCTCCAGTACATGCAGAGAACTTGGAAACAGAGTGGCCCTGCCGAGGCAGTGGCAAACCCTTGGTGTGGAAGTGAGACCTGCAAGAACGGGAAGCCTCTCAGAGCCCAGGGAAGCCTTGGCTGGACAGGCTGCTCCACATCTCCATGCAGCCCCAACCGAAGCAGGCACAGCCACGGGCAGCACCTAGGGCGCCACCTCCTTCCCAACTGAGCATGCGGCTCAGTGGGCCACAGGGCCTGAGGGCAAATGCAGCAGGGGGTGAAGCGCTCTGTGGAACACATGTAGACGCCAGTGCAGACGCTGCGCACACACGCACGCTCAGCATTCACCCTGACCTGTTTTCACACAGCTCA